GACAAAAAATAACTAAGATCAGAGCAGAACTGAAGGAGGTAGGGACACAAAAAACCCTTCAAAAAAATCAATAAATCCAGGAGCAGGTTTTTCAAAAAGATCAACAAAATAGACAGACCACTAGCCAGATTAATAAAAAAAGAAAAGAGAGAATAACCAAATTGATGTAATAAAAAACGATAAAGGGGATATCACCACAGATTCCACAGAAATTCAAACCATCATCAGAGATTATTACAAACAACTCTATGCACATAAACTAGTAAACCTGGAAGAAATGGATAAATTCCTGGATGCTTGCCTCCTCCCAAGCCTAAATCAGGAAGAAGTCGAAACCCTAAATAGACCAATAACAAGGTCTGAAGTTGAGGCAGCAATTAAGAGCCTACCACCCAAAAAAAGCCCAGGTCCAGACGGGTTCAAAGCCAAACTCTACCAGACATACAAAGAGGAGCTGGTACCATTCCTTCTGAAACTATTCCAAATAATCCAAAAAGAGGGAATCCTTCCCAAATCATTTTATGAGACAAACATCATCCTGATACCAAAACCCGGCAGAGACTCAACAAGAAAAGAAAACTTCAGGCCAATATCCATGATGAACATAGATGCAAAAATCTTCAATAAAATACTGGCAAGCCGATTGCAACAGCACATCAAAAAGCTTATCCACCATGATCAAGTAGGTTTCATCCCGGGGACGCGAGGCTGGTTCAACATACGCAAGTCTATAAACGTAAATTTTTGCAATCTACCCATCTGACAAAGGCTGATATCCAGAATTTACAAAGAAGTAAAACAGATTTACAAGAAAAAAACAAACAAGCCTATACAAAAGTGGGCAAAGGATATGAACAGACACTTTACAAAAGAAGACATATGAGAGGCCAACAAACATATGAAAAAATGCTCATCATCACTGGTCATTAGAGAAATGCAAATCAAAACTACATTGAGATACCATCTCATGCCGGTTAGAATGGCGATCATTAAAAAATCTGGAGACAACAGATGCTGGATAGGATGTGGTGAAATAGGAACTCTTTACACTGTTGGTGGGAGTGTAAATTAGTTCAACCATTGTGGAAGACAGTGTGGCGATTCCTCAAGGACCTAGAAATTCCATTTGATCCAGTAATCCCATTACTGGGTATATATCCAAAGGATTATAAATTGTTCTACTATAAGGACACATGCACACAAATGTTCATTGCAGCACTGTTTACAATAGCAAAGACCTGGAACCAACCCAAATGCCCATCGATGATAGACTGGACAGGGAAAATGTGGCACATATACACCATGGAATATTATGCAGCCATCAAAAACGATGAGTTCGTGTCCTTTATAGAGATACGGATGAACCTGGAAACCATCATTCTCAGGAAACTGACACAAGAGCAGAAAATCAAACACCGCATGTTCTCACTCATAGGTGCATGTTGAACAATGAGAGCACATGGATACTGGGAGGGGAGCACTACACACTGGGGTCTGTGGGGGGGAAGGGAAGGACAGCATGGGGTGGGGAGTTGGGGAGAGATAGCGTGGGGAGAAATGCCAGATATAGGTGATGGGGAGGAAGGCAGCAAATCACACTGCCACGTGTGTACCTATGCAACAATCTTGCATATTCTTTGCATGTACTCCAAAATTTAAAATGCAATAAAAAATAAAAATTAAAAAAAAAGATCTAAATAAATGGAGATACATACTATATTCATAGATTTAAAAGTTTCAATTCTCCCTAAATTGACCAACCGATTCCACACAATGCCAATTCAAAATCTCATCTGTCTTTTTTAAAAAAGTAGAATTTGAGAAGCTGGTTTTATAATTTATGCAGAAAGGACCTGGAATAATCAGAACAACCTTGAAAAGAACAAAGTTAAGAGGACTTCTATTAATACTTGACTTCAAGACTAATGACAAACTACAATAATGAAGACTATGATACTGGCATAGGGACTGACAAACAGATCAATATAACAGAGCAGAAAATTCAGAAATGGACATATTAGTCTTTGATTTTCAACAAAGGTACCAACAGAATCCACTGAGGAAAGTAGAGTCTCTTTAAGAAATGGTGCTAAAACACTAAATATCCATATGCAAAAAAACAAAACAACTTGACCTTTACCTTATGACACACACAAAATTTCATTTGAGATTCAGAGACTTCATATGAAAACTAAAACCATAAAGCCAGCGGAAGAAAATATCTTCATGAATTGGGGCTACGAAAGGTTTCATAGACAAGGCACACACAAAAAATGATAAATAATTAAGCTTATCAAAATTTAAAAGTGTGTGCTAATAAAAAGATATCATGATGAAAATGAATAAGCAAGCCACAGCATGGGAGAAAATATTCACCAAACATATATGATAATAGATTGACATTCAGAATATATAAGAATACCTACTTGATAATAAAAAGACAACTCAATATTCAGAATAAGGAAATATGTAAACAGACAGACACTTCACCAACAGAAGGTATGGCTAAGAATCTCAAGAAAAAATGTTCAACATAATTTGTCATCAGGGAAATGCAAATTTAAACCACAATGAAATACCACTACATACCCATTAGAATGGCTAAAATGTTTTGTTTTGTTTTGTTTTTTAAAGATGGAGTTTCACCATGATGGCCAGGCTGGTCTTGAACTCCTGACCTCAGGTGATCCACCCACCTCGGCCTCCCAAAGTGCTAGGATTACAGGCGTGAGCCACTGTGCCTGGCCATGGCTAAAATGTTTTAAAACTGACACCACCAAATCTTGGAGAAGATGTGGAACTCTCATATATTTTAGGTGGGAGTCTAAAATAGTACAACCACAGCTGGGCGCGGTGGCTCACGCTTGTAATCCCAGCACTCTGGAAGGGTGACGCGGGTGGATCACAAGGTCAAGAGTTTGAGACCAGCCTGGCCAATATGGTAAAACCCTGTCTCTACTAAATATACAAAAATTAGCCAGGTGTGGTGGCAGGCACCTGTAATCCCAGCTACTTGGGGGGCTGAGGCAGGAGAATTGCTTGAACCTGGGAGGTGGAGGTTGCAGTGGGCTGAGATTAAGCCACTGGACTCCGGCCTGGGCAACAGAGCAAGACTCTGTCTCAAAAACAAAAAACAAAAAAAAACAAAAAAAAAAATGTACAAACTTGGGAAAAAGATCTGGCAGTAACTTATAAAGCTAAATACATAGGTAATTTATGGCCAGCCAAGCAATACCTCAACTAGTATTTACTGAAGATAAATGAAAACATATGTCCATATAAATACTTATATGAGAATGTTCATAATGTCTGGGTGTGGTGGCTCACACCTGTAATCCCAGCATTTTGGGAGGCCAATGCGAGCAGATCACCTAAGGTCAGGAGTTCAAGACCAGCCTGGCCAACATGGTGAAACCCTGTCTCAAAAAAAATTTTTTTTAATTAAAACTAAAAGAAAATAATAAAAAAAAAAAGAAAGAAGAAAAAGAGAATGTTCATAGCAGCTTAATTTGTAACAGTCAAACCATGAAAAAGTCCAGGTGTCCATCAATAGGAAAATGTAGTAAATCATGCAAAAGGAAAATATAACATATTCATAAAACAAAATACTTCTCAGCAATATAAAAGAATAAATTATAATACATGCACAATACGGATAAATCTTCAAATATGCTGAGTAAAAGAAGCTTTACATGTATGAGGACATATTGTATGGTAAATTTATACGATGTTGTAAAACAGGCAAAATTAATCTATGATGAAAAATCAGTAGTTGTCTCTGAAGGGGAAAGGTGAGGATGACTGTAAAGGGTATAAGGATAGTTTGTAAGGTGATGGTAATGTGATCTATCTTGAACAAGGATTTGGGTAACAAAGGTGTATGCATTTGACAAAACTCAAGGAATGGTATACTTAAGATCTGTGCATTTAAAGGTTTGTAAATCTTACCTCAAAAAAAATAACAATTATAAACAAATATTGAAATACAGTCAATGATATGAATGCTGACATATTTAGAGAGAAATGTACTGATGTCCAAAACTTACTGTGACTGATGAATGGGCAGAGGGATGAATAAATAGATAGACATTTGATAAAGCAAACATGTTAAAATGTCAATGGTAGAATTCAGATGGTGGGTATATAGATGCTTACTATAAAATTCTTTCAACTTATTTGAATGGTTGGAAAATGTCTTAACAAAACATTAGAGGAAAAAGTCTAGAATGGGAGAATAGAAGAGATTAGAAAGCCTAGATGCTAGAAACCAAAAGGCAAAAATTTTTATCAGTGCACAGTACAGCGCAGGAAACACAGGACTCTGCTGGCCAGTAAGTCTGTGAGTTTGGAAGGGTATAATCTTACAATGGAGATGAATGAATCTAGTTATCCCAACTTGACATTAGTCAATTAAGAACATAAAACTAACTATCTTTGTTCTGATACTCAGGCTCAACCAGCCTGAATCCACCTTCGATGATTACAATCCAGCTTTCTACAGAGATTTTTGTAGAAGGAAGAGAGAATATATTGGCCAATCAGAAGCTACTTGGCCATTATTATTTTTTTTTACTGTTAATTAATGGGAACAATATGATTTCCATAGTAGACTTTTAAGTTTGATTAGACTGATTCATGTTCACTAAACCTGATCAAATCTTAGTTTACCCCCAAAAAAAGACTTCTGAATTGAGAAAATTAACTATAAAAGCAAAAGCAATGATTCATCTCCAATACAATTGTTAAGACCTTAAAATCAGAAAGGCTTCTGAGATCATTCTACTTGTTATCTATTATTTTCTCATTCTCTATTGTTGAAACCCTGCATTAATGCCTTTCATGATTCCTTTCAAATAGAATTGTCCTCAAAAAAGTATTTTGTCAGGCAGAAAAAACAGAAGGTTTATACAGCTCTCTGGAATAAATCCTCATAGAGCTCTGAAGTACAGATACAACAAAGACAAATAGTTAACATTCATAAGAACTTCACATTTAATTACCTGTGTGCCCTCATTACAAACATCTGGGAAAGAAGTCTGAGATGCTGTTTCATGTTGCTGCAAGGGTGGTTTATTTAGAAACTGGCTTATTTCTTTGGATTTTTGCTGGAGTTGATCTAAGGAAAAGAAAACAAATAAATGTAATATTTGCTTCAAGTCTGAAATGTAGTTATTATCTTCTAAGGATACACTGCTGTTTACTAGTTTAGTTACCTTAGTTAAAATTATAATGCCAATGATCACATTGTTAATTGATTGTTAATTGTTTAAATGTTCTCAAGGACCAGAGGACACCTCAGTAAACCATTTCCTTCAAAAGTAAAATAAAATAAGCTTAGGCATTTTTTTTTTTTTTTTTAATACGTGAGTCTCGCTCTGTTGCCCAGGCTGGAGTGCAGTGGTGTGATCTTGGTTAACTGCAACCTCCGACTCCTCAGATTCAACTGATTCTCTTGCCTCAGCCTCCCAAGTAGCTGGGATTACAGGCATGTGTCACCACGCCCAGCTAATTTTTTTTATTTTTAGTAGAGATGGGATTTCACCATGTTGGCCAGGCTGGTCTCAAACCCCTGACCTCAGGTGATCCGCCCACCTCAGCCTCCCAAAGTGCTGGGATTACAGGTGTGAGCCACCGCACCCGGCCCTAGGCATTTTTTAAAAGTTCATTTTCCCTTTCCCCCTTGAAAATGGCTTTAGGGTTTTTATTTTCTTCACTCTCAACGTAGGTGTTATGGGTCCCACCAAGATTTCATCACAAAGTTTTAAACATGAACATGCTTAAGAGAACAGCTTGCTCATGTAATACTCTGTTCCCATGTGATGCCCTTCAAAACTGTCTAGCTAAAATTCAGTTATTCAATACAAATTTTCCACTTAATTCTTTCCAAAATCTCTCCCTTACGTCTATGCCAATCTATTAGTAAAGATTATAATTTGGGGCAGAAGACTAGTGAGATGAGTATTGCTGTTAAGAAGTTTTACTTTTTAATTTATAAAGTTCTAAAATGTTCCATTTCTTAGTGGCACATATTAATTTTATAACAGCATATTTTAAAAAGTTTTCTTTATACCTTCTTAAAGGATAATTTTCACCTATAAGAAAAGAAATTAGGTGAAAAAATATTTTCACCTGTAAGAAAAGCACTGAGATCCATCTGTAGAATTATGGATGATGCCATGCAATTTAGTCTCCTAACCTATGGACCTATATCTGGCCTGAGTTTCCCAAAAACTAATTCAAATCCTACTCATTTCAGTCACTGAATCCTTCAGATCTGAGTCATATTTCATATAGCATTCTATTTAATATCCAGAACATCACTATCACATTTTTAGTACTGTAATGATAATATTAATATTAAGACAGATTATAACCAGTCAGAGGCAGCAAAAATGCAACAAGAAGTTCAGAAGAGCTGTTTTTCTTAGTCCTTCTATTGGTTCAATTGGTTTGAGCAAAAATTTCATTAACAGATCCCTGAAAACATGAAATACAAGCCACTCAGGTGCCAGAGACACGGACTTCAAAAGTAATCAGCTACTGACCTTCTAGCTGCTGAATGGTCTGGGATGACTGAACTGCCTGTTCGTTCTTATCTTGGAGAAGCTTTGCATTTTGATCCTTTAGAGCATCACAGGCAGATTGCAGCTCTTGTCCAGTCTTTTGAAGACTCAAAATATGAGAGGTCTTCTCTTCCATTTCTGCTTTGTGCTTCTGCTCCAAAGCACTATACCGAGACTCTAGTTCAGCCTGGGCTTGGCCTGCTTGCTCAAACTGTTCTAAAAGATGACGCATTTCTTCCTGCAGATTGTGGAAGGATAATTTTCTCTCTGCCACTTCAAGTTCCATCTTTTCCAGTAGAATCTTAGACTCCTGTCTTTCTGTTTCCACGGTGTTCCTTAAAGTATTATGTTCAGCTTCCATCTGCTGTAATTGCTGAGAGAGAACCTAAGAAAAAAGAGTCTTATGAGCCATAAATATGTTATTTCATTTTGACAAGCATTGTAAAATGCTTCTTCTTGGAGGATGGAAAAAAAATGAGAATATGTTTCTATGCTAGAGAGAAAGGCTTTCTCAAGAAGGAGAGTTGAAAAGAAGAGAGGAGATAGCTGACTTTCTCCAGCAGCACACAAGTACCCAGATAAACGAACAGAGAATGTGGACTCTGGCACCAATTCTGCATTACGATGAGACTACTTGGATGTGACAGGATAGGGACACAAGGAATCCAAGGGCTGGAAAAAAATTAGTTCAAATTGTCAAGCATGGGTCCATACAGGACATGGAAAGGAGCAAGAGTAAGGAAGAATTAACACACTGGAGGAGCAAAATGGAATGCAATGAGAATGAAGATCAGGACAGTATGAAAAAGGAAATGGCAGGATGGATTATAGTCAGATGAGCATTCCTGATTAACTTTAGACTCAAGGGAATATTGCAGAATGAGATCATGTCACTCCAACAGAAGGTCAATTGACTAAAACAAGCAAAGACGGGACTGTACATAAAGCACAAGAACCATTCAAGACAGAGAAGGGTAACTGATGAAAAAGAAACTCACTAAAGGAAAATACAGGCCAAGTATCCCTCATTCTAAACACTTGGGACCAGAAGTATTTCAGTTTTCCATTTTGTTCGGATTTTGGAATATCTTGGATATCTTGGGGACTGGATCCAAGTCTAAACATAAAATTCATTTGTTTCAAATACATCTTATACACATGGCCTGAAGATAATTTTTTTTTCTAAAGATAATTTTATACAATATTTTAAATGATTCTGTGCATAAAACAAAGCTTTGCCTTTGACCTGTTACTCTGTTCCACGAGGTCAGTGTGGCATTTTCCATTTGTGGTGTCATGTTAGTGCTTAGAAAGTTTCAGATTTTGGAGTATTTTGGATTTTCAGATTAGGCATACTCAATCTATATGACATTCTAGAGAAATTAGGACCCCAGACCTAAAATGGCAAAGGAAAAGAGCAACAAAAGAACTGCAATGTATGCTCCATGAGGGAAAGAACTGTATTTAGTTTTGCTCATAATTGTACTACATCCCCACCACTTAAGCATGAGCTATTTGTTGAAAGAATGAATAAATGGCATCAATTCTCTGAAGACTTTAAATAGGCTTTTATATCTACTGCCTGGCAAACTAAAGTGGAAATGAATACCCCCAAGGCAGGAAGTAAAGATTAGAAGGCAGTACCCGGTTTCTCTGCTCAGCAGCAGTCAGCTCCTGTTGCAGCAAGTCAACGACCTGAGCACGGCCCACCAAGGATTCTTCATGTTCCTCAAGCTTCCTCTGCAGCACCCTCAATTTCTGAGAAGAAAACATTTTAGACATAATGCGCTAACAAATGAGTGTTTACATTTGCTTTTCTTTCAAAATGCAATATAAATTAGTGTACTTAAATTTTGGGGTGTTGAAGATGACAATTTAAAGAGTGGGAGATCAGCATGCCATCCTCCCCATTCAGCAGCAACAAAGACTCTCCAGAATGTCTTCTCCAGAGCACCAACAAAAACCAAACCCAGACACAAGCAAGTCCCTGAATTAGGGAGCCACTTTAAAAATTAGAAGAAAACAATGACACATATCTGCTTTCAAATCATACAGTTAACATCCTGTACCTAGATAGCATAGGTACATGTACACCTTACCCACCCAAGGGAACATTCTCTGCAGGTAAGAAGCATTTCTCTTCTCCTAGTTTCATGCACAGGGCAGGCACTTGAAAAACACTTGTTGAATAAATAGATCAATGATACACATATATAATTAGTATTCTACTTAATAATACGTTGTATTCTGAAACTTTACTTAATGGCACATTCTGAAAGATTGCTTAGAACTTAGAAGTTTTTACTCTAATTGACTCTAATTAATTTTCACTCTAATTAAACAGATCAAACATGAAGTATCACTGAAGTGCCTTTCAGTACCGCACTGCACTACATACTAAATTAAATCAAATGCTTTCAGTTAGTAGATGGTGAACTCAAATACAATGAAGCCAATTTTCAAAATCTACTCAAATTTTTTTAAAAATTACGAATCTAATAAAAGACGTCATGGCTTCAAAATCATTCTTTTTTCATCTCTAATTTTTTGAACATTTAAAACTGACTTCATTGATTTAAAGCTTTGGATTAGGTGTGTTATGCACAAAGGTAGCTACAATCAGAAAACTGAAAAGAAACCAATTTTTGACTACCACATAAATTCACCAACTAAACTCAGCTTTTGAGTACCAGAAACCTGATTAGAGGAGTAAAAGGCAAGAAAAGGATAAGAAAAAACAAACAATTTTTATGCAACAGAAGACAAGGACACCAAAAAGAGGCCAGTAAGGAAAACACTAACATCAAGTGAAGAGCAGTGGGTAAGGGTAGGAAGGTGGCTGTGATGATTAAATATTAACCAAAATGATAGTCATTCTACTGAGTTTTAGCAACACACCTGTTGCATCTCTGTTTCCACATCTGCCTGGGTTACTAACTGAAGAAGCTCATCTTCATGAAGACGAACTTGTGTTTCAAAGCGGGCATCTTTCTCTCGGACCACCTGCTGCATGGAACTCAACTGAAGACACATACCAGAGAAACTATGCAAGTTACACTCCCCGAATATTGCACAAATAAAACTCACAGACTACTTTCCAAGATAGACACTGAGAATTGATAGACAGTAACTTTTTAAAGTGAAATTTTGGTTGTCAAGGATGAGGATGTTGGAAGAAAGATCGGCCAGACGGTAACTACCAAATGTGAGAGAAAGCCTATTTTCAAATTCAGAAGTCAGTCAAAACATAAATTTTGATCAAAAATTATATGTTAATGGCTAATAGAAATGTTTTAAATATACAAGAAGTATATTTTTTTAAAGTTCTAAAAAGATTAGGATATTAAACACATAAAGTAAAGTTAAGTTAGATTTCTACTAAACCCTAGACACTTCTTGCTCATGGCTAAAAAGCTTTCAATGAAATTCTCATGCCGTATAAGTCAACTAACATATCATTTATTCAAGATTCTCTACAACTGGAAATACTAATCTAGCTTTTGAGTCTTATTTTCAAAGAATTGCTTCTACCAAGGAACCTGGTGTACTTCTAATTCCACACCATCTCCCCATGCAGCTGTTTTCTGCTGTCGTTACTTGCAGCCTTCTAGATCATGCTCATTTTTAACTGGCTCTGAACAGAATGAAATGGAAATAAAGGGATTGATTGTGAGCTGTTCACTATCACCGCTCAAAATATTTTGTTTGTATTACTGCTTGTTTTGGCATTTATTTGGAAAGCCTTAAATTATGATGAATCTCTTAACACACTTACATATCCTGACTTTCCATATTTTAGCAACAGGTTAAAACCATATTCGGTATTTCTTCATCCTGCACTGTATATAGTGCTTATACATGAAAAGGACACAATAAAAAAATAATAAAAGGACACAATAAAAGCTAATAGGTAAAATCAAGAATTTCAGGATATACAATTTTAACTGTATACACAGCAGTAGGCCAACCACAGAGAGAAGGCACCACTAATACTACAAATTATCAATAAAGTAAACACCTAATGGATAAGATTAGCCATGTACCAAGGTACTTCAGGGAAAAAAAAAATCTTTCATGATTCAAAAGCATCCCCCCGCCCCCTACACACACACACACAAATTACAGTGCCTATAATCCTAGCACTTTGGGAGGCCAAGGTGTGAGGATCATTTGAACTCAGGAGTGCAAGGCCTGCCTGGGCAACACAGTGTGAACTTGTTTCTTCAAAAAATGTAAAAAAAAAAAGTTGAGCCAGATGTGGTGGCATATGCCTGTAGTTCCAGCTACTGGGGGGCTGAGGTAAGTGAAAAGATGGCTTGAGCCCAGAAGATCAAGGCTGCAGTGAGCTATAATTGTGTCACTTGTACTCCAGCTTGGGCAACAGAGCGAGACTCAATTTCAAAAACATATATGTGGCAGTGGGTGGCCAACCAAGAAACCTAGAAAAATAGAAAAAGTTGAGGATGCCAATCCAAGTGGACTGGTCTTGATAACTGAAATAAATGGGAAAAGGAACGTCACATACTGGTGCCACTTAACATAAAATCACATGACCTACATCACTTTCTCTTTACAGGCTCACTAAGTAATCTAACTATAATTTATTTTCCTATTAAGATAGATACTATTTTAGAGAAAGAATGAACCTAATTATTTTTATTTCTTTTGGTTTACTTATTGGTCTCTTTTGAATTCAGCATAAGCCCATTCCTAAAAGACTGAATCTCTGTCTGCTATTAAAATTAAGCTTCTGGACCTACAGAACTAAGAACTAAAAATAGGCTATAGCAAATTCATCAAGGTAAATAACACATTGTGAGGCTTTCTGGTGTTCCCTAATGACATACTTACCTACCACACATCTTCTAATCTCTATTACTACATATACTTCTACTTTCTAGTGCAACATCCATGCTACTATACTTTTAGCTACTAAGATTTTTTACAGTGACTAACTGAGTTGAGTTGCGGGTAATAACCCACTGGACTTCACGGTTTTTTATCCTAATTTTGTGAGGTCCTTCCCCCTACCTGTGCAGCTTGCTCTGCCTGTGTCTGGCTGAGCTCGGCTTGTAAAGTGCTAATAAGCTCTTCCTTCTCCTGGAGCTGTTGCTTCATCATTACAAATTCTTCCATCTCTGCAGAACTCTTATCAAACTGAAGACATAGAAGGAAAAAAAGTAAGCAAAAGAATTAGCATTCTCAATTCTTTGACATCCCTTTCTTGCTTGGGCTAAATGCCTACCATATTCCCTTCTAATTTACACTGAACAAAAAAGGAAACTGCATGCATTATGGTTTTTAAAAAGTAATGATCAAAATTTCATTTGTCAGAAGAAAACAAAAGCAGTAGTGGCAATTTTTCAATTTCTCTGAATCCTCACATAGAGACAGCATGAAATAGTAAAACCAAAAACTATAGAAAACATTTACAGTAAAATTGGCCAGACAGTCCTAAGAACCCTAAAATATAAGCTAGTAAGCAGAAACCACAAAAACCCACAAGAACTACATTGCATTAGAGTCTTATGTTGTGTAAGGAAAAGAAGGCAGCAACAAAGTGAAATCTGATGGCTCTGAGAAAGGGACAACCCTAAACAGCCAATGTATTCATTTGTTGGAATGCACAGTTGGCCAATTTTAGAACAGCAGCAGGGTTCTGCCATTCCTTAATACTAGGCAAATGCAAGGGTACACAGTAAGAAGGACTAAAAGGGCTAGAGCAATCTAGTACGCCCTCTGAACTCTCAAAACTGACTCATCATGGCTCCATTCTGAGACATGAACCTGTACTAAGAAGAAACTGCCAGGAGTGAAATAAAAATTAAGCAGAAAAGGAATTAAAGAGACAGAAGAAAGAGGTCTACAAACATACTGTATAATGCAGTATCAACTAGACACGTGTGGCTACAGAGGGTTTGAAACATGTCTAATATAAAAGAAATACTTTTAATTTTTAACATTATTTAATTTGAATTTGAAAACTGAGGTATAAATTATTTTTCCATTAAGTACAACTCTATTTTGGCATGGCTGTATTTCATCTTATCTGTTGCATCATGTAAGTTACTATTGAGGTGTTGCACAAGTAACAAGTGTGTATGTAGTTGGTGTCAATGGGTTGATTCAGTTTAATTTTTTTTCTAGACCCTTATGTAACATTGTAATGTGTTTATTTGTATACTTAATGCAGATAGCATGAGTAACAGCTGATACTAATTTAATCATAATTAAATTGCAATAGAAACATTATAGTTGAATTATTTTCTAAGTTCAAAAATAAATATAGACACATTTTAAAATTTTAAAAAGGCCTGCTACTGTTCTATAGTTGGTTCCTTTTTACTTGTAAGTAATATTCCAGTGTGTGGATATATCACAGTTTAAATATTTCTGTATTGATGGGCATGTGAGTTGTTTCCAGTCTTTAATTATCACAAATAAACCTATTACTATTGGACAATTTTGGCATTAACCAAAGTGAAGGGCAGAAGTAAGAAAGCCAGGAAATCTCAGAAATCCAGCTCCTATATCTTTGAACACAACATAAAAATAACAAAAAAGGAAGTCTCTTAGGAAAAGCTTTCCTGAATCAAGCCTTCTTCCAAATAGAGGTTTAGAAGAATGAATTTGTCACAAAAATAAGGAACAGAAAAGGATCAAGGTCATATCCCATATAAAGTTACTCTTTAAAAAAGCAACCCCTCACTAGCAAGAAAACCCTCACCAGATGCAGCCCCTCAGCCTTGGTCTTCTCAGCCTCCATAACTTCTTATAAATTACCCCATTTCAGGTGTTTTCTGCTACAAGTAAGAGAAAACAGACTAAAAAAGAAAACTGGTATTGACAAGTGGGGTCACTGCTGATAATTCGAAAATGTGAAAGCAGTTTTAGAACTGGGTAATGGGCAGAGGCTGGAAGAATTCTGAGGAACTGGCTAAAAAATGCCTAGATTCTGATGAGGGCTTAGAAGACAACTACGGGAAGTTTGGCACTCCTTAGAGATTGGTTAAGTGGTTGTGACCACAATGCTGATAGAAATATGGACAGTAAAGGCCACTCTGATGAGGTTTCAGATAGAACTGAGGAACAAAGTACCAGAAACTAGAGTAAAGCCCATCCTTGTTATAAATTAATAATGAACTTGGCTGAACTGTGTCCATGCCCACGGACTTTGTAGAAGGCTGGGCTTGAGAGTGATGAACTAGGGTATGTGGCAGGAGAAAATTTTGAGCAGCAAAGTGCTCAAGCTGCTATGTGGTTACTTCTATCTTCTACAGTGAACAGAGAAAAAGAAAACAGAGAGGAAAAAAAAAAAGAAAAATTTGCAACCTGGCCATGTGGTAAAGAATGGAAAAGCATTTCAAGATGGGAATCCAAGAATGCACAGCCACCACTTGCTAAAGAGACTAACATGGCTAAAAGGGAGCCAGTTACTAATAGCCAAGACAATTGGAAAAGGCCCTGAAGGCATTTCAGAAGGCATTTTAGAAATCTTTAAGGCTGCCCCCTCCAACCCCCATCACAGCTCCAAAGGCCTAAGAGGACAGAATGGTTTCTGTGAATAATAGGCCTGAGACACCACAGCTCTGTGCCACTTCAGGACACTGCTCCTTGCATCCCAGCTGTTCTGGTCAGTGCAATGATGGCTCAAGCAGCCCCAGGTATGGCTAATGCCACAGCTCAAAAGGTACAAGTTGTAAAACTTGGTAACATCCACATGGTGCTAATTCTGCAGGCTCGCAGAAAACAAGAGCTATGGAGGCTTAGTAGCCTCCACTCAGATGTCAAAGGATGTCATCAATAGCCAGAGGGCTCAGGCAGAGACTTGTCTCAGGGGCAGAACCACCACTGAGACCTCCCCACTAGAGCAATGCCGAGCGGAAATGTGGGGTTAGAATTGCCCCACAGAGTCCCCACTAGAGTAATGCCTAGTGAAACCATGGTGTGGGACTACCACTGACATACCAGAACTATAGAGCTACCAGTGTGCAATGCAAAGCCAGCCTGGGAGAGCAGACTGGACTAAGCCCCACAAACCCATATGGGCAGAATTACCTGAGGCCTTGGGGACCCAACCACCATACCTGTGCAGAGGATACTGAAAATGGAGTAAAAGAAGATTATTCTGGAATTTTAAGGCCCAATGTCTGCTCTCCTGGGGTCTCTTAATCCCTTTCTTCTTGCCTATATCTCCCTTTTAGAATGAGAATATGAACCCTATGCTTATCCTACCATTGTATCTTGGAGGCAGATAATGTATTTTGATTTTACAGACTCACAGATGAGTTGGTGCAGGAATGAGCTAAAACTTTGGGGCTGTGGGGATGGAACTAATGTATTTGTATGTGAGAAGAACATGAGTTTTGGAGGGCCAAAGGTAGAAAGCTACGGTTTGAATGTCCTCTCCAAAACTCATGTTAAAACTGAATCCCCAATGTGACAAAAGGCCTTTAAGAAAGGACTGATTCAGGAGGTCTTTGGACTCAGGAATTAATTAACACATTCATGTTTTAATGGATTAATGGGTTGTCATGGAAGGGGAACTGGTAGCTTTATA